TACTGTCCTTCTCTGCCACAGTGTTTCTGTATTGTGGTGTCTTCGCCCTGTGCTGAGCTGCATCAACCACTAGAGAATTCGGCTGTGGGTGATGGAATAAAAATTCGAGGCCTTTGGAGGGAACAAAATACTTTTTGTTGGCTCGCTTGCTTGTTGGTGCTGCAGAGGCTGGGGTCTGCCAAATTTCTTCCACAGCCTCCGTAATTGCTTCATCAATAGGAAGCAGGATTTTTTTACCGTTGCTGAAGGTGCAGGTTTTTCAGCAGACCGTATTGCTTGCTCTGCACCTTCCCTAGCTGTACCTCTTGAGATTCCACAACCTGCATGAAGAGTTCCTGAAATTGTTTCAGGTCATCCGAAGGAGACATTTCACCTGGAAAAACAGCTTCAAGGGAGAATGAGGATGGTCTCTCGGCGATGTATCGAGTTGTTGATCCTCTCCCTCAGATAGCTGGCCCTCCTCTAGATCGGACTGCTGGGGTTGCACAGCACGACTCTGTGCTGACAGAGCTGGCAGGTGCTCCTGCTGTTGTAACTGTGACTCAACCACAACATGCTGATAGACAGGCGAGTGGCAGCAACATGGAGACCACTATAGGAATGTGATCTGTAATAACAGCGAGAGGAATAATGTGGTCTGTGGTAATGCTCATAATAATGCTTAGAGTGAGTAGGTGATGAACGTCTGGATGATATAATGCTGCCATGCAGCCTGTAATATACTGTGTGAGGAGACAGTACTGGTGAATGAGGCAAGTGCCAAGAAAACCTCGAGGATGGTGAAAACGAGTTGTGCCTATCATACTCGGATGTTCCCGTGGCAGTTTGTGGTACAGGGATCTAAAACTGTGTCGAGGGGAATGAGAGACGTCTCTAGTCCGGTATCGAGTATTACTCCAGATGGGAGAGGGATGCGTCAGAGGCGAGGGAGACGATGCCTGACAGAAAGTTGGACATTGGGAAATAGGACTCCAATGACTGTTCGACTTTTCAGCGGCTTTCTTTGGTGACAATGCGGTGTCACTCCTTGAAATCAGCCCTGCCTCCGCATTGTCTGGCACCTTCAGTGCAGATGTCTGTGGCTGCACTGTCACCGGTTCCGACGTGTGCAGCACCGCTATTGGTGCTGACCGCTCTGGTGCCGACAGTGCAGAGGGCAAGGGCACCGCCGATGGTCGTGTAGTCACCGGTACCATGAGACTCTCAGGTTGGGCTCCCAGTGCCACTGTCGATCTTGGTGCCAACAGTTTTCTCGGTGCCAGGTTTATCAGCTTTTTAGATTTGGCACTCACAGAGGTTTTTGAGGACACGGGGACAGTGCTGGATGTACCCAGTTTATCCCCTCTGATGACCGGTTCAGCGGGTGAAGAGCACGTGGGGGGTGCTCTCAACTTCTGCACTGCAGTCACCCCTGGAGAAAAAGCTCTACGCTTCTGCGTCACACCCGCCTCTGAACTCGACGGTGGAGCAGGGTCCAAAGGCTGTAAGGCTTTGTCAAACAAAATCATTTTGAGGCGCATTTCTCTGTCCCTACGCGCTCTGGCAGTCAATTTAGAGCAATGCGTGCACTTTTGTGGGACATGTGCCTCACTGAGGCAACAAATGCAGGCCAAGTGGCCGTCGGACGCCGGCATGGCCTCACGGCAAAGGGAGCACTTTTTAAAACCTGGTGAACCAGGCATTATCAGGTCCGACTAGGATATTACTTTAGGACCTAGAACTAAATGACTAAACTTTTTTTTTTTTAAAGGTAAAAACCACTAACAGTTAAATGAAGATTTTTTTTTAAGACTAACTAGAAAGAACCGTAGAACACACTATTAAACTAACACTAACTATTTTGGTAACTAACTATTCACAGGAAACTGACCAGAAGAGGAGACGAACGGAGCTCTGCCTGCGACTGAGGACAGTTGAAAGGAACTGGTGGGAGCCAGACCACGTGCAACGATCACAGGGCACGAATGGCGCGAGATGCTGACCGTGTATTTGCAGTCCAGCTGACTATGATATTGAAAATCTCTGAACTGCAGCGCCAGGACAAGCCCGACACCTACAGTGGAGCACCCACGGAGACACCACTCAAAGAAGAACCTAAGATTACTTATTTTTTAATGAGAGTGTTGTCATAGGGATTAAACTAACATGCAGTATCTTCACATTTTAAAACTCATTTTAACTTTCCTGAGTGTTCCCAGGTAGACATTCCCTGACTAGAGCACTATTTGCTGACGTTCAGAATTTAAGATGCTGTGACTTAAACAAAAGTTACTTTAGTTAAATATATAAATTCTCTATTGGAATATTGATGGCCTCCAGTGATGTTAATATTTCTTGTGTTCTATATACAGGGCAGGCTTTAGCAAGCGCAGGGCCCGATTCCGGGGGCGGGGCTGCACATGCGCCGTGTGCCTGGGATGGCATACCTGGAATGGCACTGAACATGCGTCGCACACCCGAGAGCAGAGCCCCCTTAGGCGCGGGGCCCCATTCCGGGGAATCAGCCAAATCAGCCTAAAGCTGGCCCTGTCTACATATAACAGAGGTTGCGACTGCTCTGGAGGATAGAGTCATAATTCAAAATGATCTGGACAAACTGGAAAAATGGTCTGAGGTAAACAGGATGAAGTTTAATAAAGACAAATGTAAAGCGCTCCACTTAGGAAGGAACAATCATATAGAATGGGAAGCGACCGTCTAGGAAGGAGTATGGCAGAAAGGGATCTAGGGGTTATACTGGACCACAAGCTGAATGAGTCAGCATTGTGATGCTATTGCCAAAAAAGCAAACATGATTCAGGGATGCATTAACAGGTGTGTTGTGAGCAAGACACGAGAAGTCATTCTTCCGTTCTACTCTGCGCTGATTAGGCCTCAGTTGGAGTATTGTGTCCAATTTTGGACACCGCATTTCAAGAAAGATGCAGAGAAACTGGAGAGAGTCCAGAGAAGAGCAACAAGAATGATTAAAGGTCTAGAGAACATGACCTATGAAGGAAGGTAGAAAGAATTGGGTTTGTTTAGTTTAGAAAAGAGAAGACAGAGGTGGGACATGATAGCCGTTTTCAGGTATCTAAAAGGGTGTCATAAGGAGGAGGGAGAAAACTTGTTCATCTTGGCTTCTAAGGACAGAACAAGAAGCAATGGGCTTAAACTGCAGCAAGGGAGGTTTAGGTTGGACATTAGGAAAAAGTTGCTAACTGTCAGGGTAGTTAAACACTGGAATAAATTGCCCAGGGGGTTGTGGAATCCCCATCTCTGGAGATATTTAAGAATAGGTTAGATAAATGTCTATCAGGGAGGGTCTAGACAGTATTTGGTCCTGCCATGGGGGCAGGGGACTGGACTCGATGACCTCTCGAGGTCCCTTCCAGTCCTAGTATTCTATGACTCTATAACAGTGATTTGGCTTATCCTGTACATAAAAATCCTTTCTATCTCAGAACCTAATATGGAGGGCTGCTCTACACTAGAAAATTAGATTGACCTATCAACATTGTTAAGGAATGCAAAATACACACACACACACACACACCCTGGGCTACACAGTTAAGATGAACTAAATTGCCATGTAGACAGCTCTTGGTTGATGAAAGAATTTTCTGTTGACACAGCTACTATCTCTTGAGGAGGTGGATTTTAAAAAGCAATGACAGAATCTTTTCCATCGCTGCAGTAAACGTCTACGCTGAAGTGCTGCAACTGTGCTGTGGTAGTATTTAAAGTGTAGATATAGCCTGAGCAAGGAACTAAAACCATCAGCTTCTTTACTGAACATCTGCCTCTGCTTGCACCCCACCCACTCCAATTACTGTATTTTGGAAGATAGCAGAAAACAAGTATTTCCTCTTTCCTGTGTTTGTGCTGGAGCAGTAAAAACATCCCACATGGTTTACATTTTCATAGCAGGATTGTGTGCATTTCATGACCCTCAGTAAGTTGGATTTGCAGCAGGACAACCTTGCAGGTTCACTTGAATCTTCAAGTTTCCACAAAATTTAGAACTTCAAAGTGAACCTGTGTGATGTCTTGTAAGAACAGACGCTGACTTCCAATTTTTTTCCATTGGTGGGAGTGAAAGGGATTGGGAGATCAGCTACCTCTCTCAGTCCCTGAAAGGGGAAGAAGGCAGCCTTGCTATTTCTATCTCCAACACTGTTCCCCCCCATACATCCCACTGCAGAATGATAGAAAGAGTTAATTAATACTCACATGCTTCACCATGTCTAATAACTAGGAAAACTGCCAAGGCTAGGAATGAGACCAGCAAGTCATTCATAAGAGACATTAAAATCCAGGCAATGTGGGGTGGGTTTCAGACCACTGGTATACATTAGGGCTGTCAAGTGATTAAAAAATTTAATCGTAATTAATCACGCGATTAATCGCGTGCACCTCCCCTTTAAAATGCTGTGGTGGCGTTTCAACGGGGCAGTGCTGCGTGGAGCCCAGGATCACTGGAGTCCCCAGCTGACCCCGTGCTCCATGCAGCGCTGTCCCTTGGAAGTGCCGAGGTGCGTTAGGAGCCTGGGATCAGCTGGCTCCATGTTGCAAAGCCCCTTAGAAGTCCCCAGCTGATCCCCAGCTCCGCTTGCACTGCCCCTTTGAAGCGCTGGAGCGGCACTTCCAAGGGGCAGCGCAACATTAATGCCTGCGATTAACATGTTAATCCTGGACTGCGTTAATCGCAGGCGTTAACGCAGGTCAGTTGACATCCCTAGTATACATCCGAAAAGGCTGTTTAAAGTAAGAGGAGTTCAGGGATTTGTTAGGGGCTGAGGTATAAATGGGCCAAAACTACAAAAACAGAACCAGATCTGCAAATGATGAGAGATATAAGGCTAGTTTGGGGGTTCAAAAGAAAAACAAGTCAATTTTGCTTAGTGCAAATTCCATCTGACATGGCCTCATTTTGCAACTAGAAACAGTATACTTTATTAATTACAACTGATGCAATGTCATGAATATTAGTGAAAAAATTACCTTACAAATGTACTTACATTGTAGTCTGCTTCAGGAAGCTTAATACCAGGAAATAAGTCGCTAGTTATACCATTGAACAGAGGTATATCATGAGACAAAAATTTAGGCTCATTCACATCCTTAATAGATCTAAGAAGCTAAAGAAAACAAACACATAACTTTACAAAAAATGTATATTCTGATTTACATGTTGACTACAGAATAATTATTTTACAATTACCCTTGGCAAGTAGATTTTAGTCCGGCGCAGCCGCGCAGCGCGCTCTGCGAATTTGCAACGTGGTTTGCACATGCACAGCGTGCGGTTCTGCGCAGCTGGTGAGTGGGGCTCGCCGCCACTTGGCAAACCCTGAACATGCGAATGGCCATACTGGGTCAGACCAAAGGTCCATCTAGCCCAGTATCTTGTCTGTCGACAGTGGCCAGTGCCAGGTGCCCCAGATGTGGTGGACCGAAGACAATGATCAAGCAATTTGTCTCCTGCCCTCCTTCTCCAGCCTTTGACAAACAGAGGCTAGGGACATCTTTACCCCCTGGTTAATAGCCTTTAATGGACCTAACCTCCAAGAATTTATCTAGCTCTTTTTTAAACTCTGTTAGTCCTAGCCTTCACAGCCTCCTCTGGCAAGGAGTTCCACAGGTTAACTGTGCACTGTGTGAAGAAGAACTTTCTTTTATTAGTTTTAAACCTGCTACCCATTAATTTCATGTAGTGCCCTCTAATTCTTATATTATGGGAACAAGTAAATAACTTTTCTTTATTCACCTGCACCACACTACTCATGATTTTATATACCTCTATCATATCCCCCCCCCCCAGTCTCCTCTTTTCCAAACTGAAAAGTCCCAGTCTCTTTAGCCTCTCCTCATATGGGACCTGTTCCAAACCCCTAATCGTTTTAGTTGCTCTTTTCTGAACCTTTTCTAATGTCAAAATACCTTTTTTTGAGGGGAGGAGACCACATCTGTACGCAATATTCAAGATGTGGGCGTACTATAGTTTTATATAGGGGCAGTAAGATATTCTTCGTCTTATTTTCTATCCCTTTTTTAATAATTCTTAGTATCCTATTTGCTTTTTTGACTGTCACTGCACACTGCGTGGATGTTTTCAGAGAATTATCCACAATAACTCCAAGATCTCTTTCCTGATTTGTAGCTAAATTAGCCCCCATCATATTGTATGAATAATTGGGGTTATTTTTTCCAATGTGCATTACTTTACACTTACCCACATTAAATTTAATTTGCCATTTTTATGCCTAATCACTCAGTTTGTTGAGATCTTTTTGAAGTTCTTCACAGTCTGCTTTGGTTTTAGCTATCAAAAACATATTTTTGAGGCAGTCAGTTTCATCATCCTGCTGTTCTTGCACTTAGGAAGTTTCCCCTGAGATTTAATCTAAATCTGAACTAAGATTTTATCACAGGGGAAGTGACCCAGGGAACTGGAGGCAATAGAGGGGAATACAGGAGGGCAGGACAACGCTGCTGCCAAAGGGTCCCTGGGTCAGGACCCAGAATAGTGTGTGGGCCTGGGTCCCCCCCACTTTCCTCTTGCACCGTGTCTAGCCTCCATTGTGTGTAGCCTGGAAGAACTGTGGCTTGCCCCTGAAGTGAGAAGGCTGCAGTTGGTCACAATGGCAGGCGCTAGCTATAGGTGAGAGGATTATTCTGGGAGGGGTGGGTGAGATTCTGTGGCCTGCACTGTGCAGGGGGTCAGACTAGATGATCATAATGGTCCCTTCTGACCTTAAAGTCTATGAGTCTGATGATAACCCCAGGAAGGGGGTAAAAGACACTAAAATGGGTACTGCCATACTGTGCTCCAGGAGGGACGCAGGTCCACAGCTAGAGTGTGGAGCATGGACAACAACATGCAACAGATGCCCTGTTGATAAAGGACTAATTCCTTTGAGCAACCAGCAGGAGGTGCTGTAGTTGTGACCCCGCCAAGTGACAACCCCTCCCCCCCCTGCCTACAGTGACTCAGTGCTCTGTAGCCCCGACTACCTGCAGCAACTGACCAGTCCTGGCCCTGCCATCCTGGGGCTGAAGCAGAAAATGTCACAGAGGTCTCTAAAATCCACAGAATGAGTGATCTCCATGACAAAATCTTATCTTTAGTGATGTGGTATCTTAAGCAATTAAAGAAGTAATATAAGCTATATTGCACTCAGTGCTAGGCTATATTAAAAGGCAGAAATCCCTGTAATGGGTGAAGATACATGAAGCAAGACATTTCCTGACATTGTGTTGGGGATCTGATGGAGCATCCAAATGTTCCCCACTGTCTCTCCTAACAATTATAGTATTGCCATCACTCAAAAATTCCTTCCCTAGCTTTAGCACCTCTGAAGACCCCCTACCTCTCCTTCATTCATTAATGTAGCAATGACGAGGAAGCAGAGCAGGCTGTATCTCCCTTTGCATAGTTTCCTCTATTCTTGGCTTCCATGCACTCTACACATGACATATTCATACAGAATAGAAAAGCCAGAAAAAAATTAGAATAAGAGAGAGACAGCCCCCCTGCACCTTGCAGGAGGCATAAGGGATATGTTGAAAAAGGCTTTCTTTTCTAGACTGCCGCTTTTTGCCAACAAAGTGCTGTGTCGGCAAAATGCAGCTGCCATTTTTATGCTTTTAGGCACGGGATATTTAAATCTCTGCCTCATTTGCAATGTCGACCTGCCTAATCTGCATCTCTCTGCTGACAGAGGGATACAGTCTAGACATACCCTAGATCTGCTATGAAAAAATTGATTTTTTGTTTGTTTGTTTATATCACTTTTCACAATGGACTTATTAGCTAACAATAAATACATTACAATCATTTGGATGTCTATGTATTTGTTTTTTTCCTAAAGCTAATTAAGTATTTTAGGAAAAAGCATGAAAGCAGCCAACAGTAAGAGTTGATGGCCACATTCTGAGGTCACCAAAAAAAATTGTCCTGAGAACCTCTGATCAAGTCAGACCTCATGCACATCACAGGTCATCAAAATTCAACCAAATATACCTGGATCTTTTGCATGTTTTCTCCTTATCGTGAATTTAAATTAATCCTTTCAGTTAAAACTCAATTTTGAAACTAGTTTTTATTTACATCTTAGATAATAAATAATATTTAGCACATAATGGTTTACATTTACAAAGTGCTATAACATATTAACTAGTTTATTTTTCATAATATTTTTGTGAAGTAGATAAGCATTCTTAACCCCAATTTACAGATAGAGAAACTGAGACAGAGTGGTTCAGTAACTTCACTAGACAATACAGTGAGGTAATTCAAAATTCTTAAGAATTTTAATTAGCGAAATCCATTGTTACCTCAGGAACTTACCAATATATCTTCATTCTCCTGCGGGAATTTCAGTTTTAGGTTGCCAGCAGCCACTAATACAGCTTTAACTGCACGCATACCATAGTCATAATGGAACTGAGAGGAAAGTTGCTCTGAACAAAGTCTATAGGTCATTACTATCTTCACTGACAATGGCTTGGCATTAAGAAATCCGTAGGAGTAGAGAGAGATTTCTGCTATCAGAGCATAGTTAGGAACCATCATGGCTACAGTTCGGAAAAGAACCTGAAATGCATATCACAGGAAATATGTCTGAAACATTTAGAAGAATAAAAGAATTATTGTATATCTGATTTGCACTCAATATCTAGAGATACCGTGTTGCAAAAGTTCCTGTGGTTACAGTATTATCAATCTTTGAAGACAAGATCCATGACTCATTAAGAGCCAAATATAAGAAAGTTGCATATATGGCCCTCGACACAAAGAACATTAATTATCAGACTGACCCAAAGTTCCTCCTCTTTCACACCCATCTTTTCCCTAAACAGAGACTATTCATTATGTGTCATGTATGGGTTAAACACACCTGATGGGGAGGAAGATATGAGATGGAACACATGATACATGAGAGAGTATACTGCACCCTGTGAAGGGGTGTAACACTGAGCATGCTCAGTGCTGATTACAGCATTCCTGGATGAATTCTGCCTGTCTGAGGTAGAATTCCTCTTTGAACTCCTTTTAAAGCAAGAGGGCTCTGGCCCATCTCAGTTCAGTGCTGTGACTTACAGGGAAAATAGAACCATAATGCTGCCATCAAGATATCTCTATTTCACTTGCTGAAGCAATGTCTCACCACTGTAACAGGAATACTGGCATAAACAAACATCATAGTAAATCTTTGCAACTGGTAATCTGAATAGATTCATCATCACTTGAGCTAGTCAAATTGTTCTACCTCTGCTTCTGAATAAAATAACATTCAAAGTTATTTTAAACACATTTTCTTAATATATTCTATATAAATTAATTTAAAAGCATACAGGACAAAATCCTTCAATCACTACTCAATTCCTGCTCCTTACCCCAGCTAAACAGCCCTCAATGAAGTGTTGGCTCATCACACATAAGAGCAAAAGTAATAATTAATTAATGTAATTTCAGTGTATAACAAGAAAAACTGATTAAAAACCTTAACAGAGAATAAACTGGTTTGAATAAAAGAAAAAAATGAAACCTGCCAGATATGTTGCATAAGAAATGCAAAATTTAAAAATATAAATTGCTTATATTGTGGATTCCACATTCTAGTGTAACACCAGTAGTGAATTTGGTCCTAGGTTTCTTAAATGCATTATTAAGCGAACATGCTCATTTTATTATCTTACCTTGAGGTTGTCTGGCAGCTCAGACCGTCCTGCATAACCTGGATTCATGGTAATAGCTACAAAACAGTTGGGATTGAGCTTCAGTTCAGTCCCTTCAAAAAGAAATGTTTCCATCTTCAACTGTATGGCTCGCTGAATGCAAAGGATCTGCTGGGCCACCACGGACAGTACTTCTAGCTCAATACGATTAAATTCATCAAAACAGGCCCAAGCACCGGAAGAAGCCAAACCCTTAAAAAACTGTAAAACAAGAAAAAAAGATAGTAACTGTAACTCTCCATAGCATCAGGAGATTTAAGAGCACCAATCAATAGTATGATGGCTTGAAATTCAATGTTGTGCCATGTACTTATTTGCATAGTTGGAATAATATTTAAGTTTATTTAGAGGAAAGGTCAGCAGGTACATTAGGAAATTAAGTAAATGGAAATCTTTCCTTGGTTTTAACAGAAGCTGAGTAAGGATCACAGGCTCTGGTCCTGCAAACTCCTGGACATATACATAATCTAATACATGGAAAATGATCCTACTGAAGTCAATAGACCTTAAATTATAAACTATTAAGGACGGGGATCATGAGTGGGATTTTCAGAAGTGCCTACATGAAATGGGCACTTAACTCCCATTGAAAGTCAACACCTTTCCTCCTGAAAAAACACACAATGATCTTAAAAAGTAATTCAAATTACCTTTCCCATTGCTAGGTAATCAAGCCCATCGGAACAGTTGAAGACAACACACTGTACAGCAAGAGCTTTAGCCAAGTCTTTAGTAGTCTCTGTTTTACCTGTCCCTGCTGGGCCCTCTGGAGCACCACCAAGGTTTAAATAAAAGGCTCCAATCTAAAGAATGGAAATAGTTTACGAAAAGTAATAATTTAATCAAATATTTGTTCATAGTACAAAATAATTTTATAATGGAAAATAATTTTAAATTCAAATGTGGATTGAAAACACTAGATAGCTAAAAACAAATTATTGCATACAACAAGTATTTATCAGATTTTTACTAAATGAAAAAGGCAATGCAAAAAAATTACTTATGTCTTCAAAATACATGAAACTCAAAGTTTGATTCAGAGTTATCTTTATTGCAGATTCCTCAGAAGAGGGCACAATCTTATTTGTTCCTGAGAAGCCCATGTAGACATTTACATTGAACCTGATTGTGCTGCTCACACACAGGAAAAGTCCATTTTTAAAGTCAATATGCCTGATCTTACTTGTTTTTGTTTCCTATCTCGCTCTTTTTCCTTTTCTAAGCAGCAGCATCTCTTTTCCACTCATGCTTTGTGGTCTTTATTATATCATCTCCCTTTGCTCTGCCCATGTTCCATTGTCCATCATATCCAGCTTTCCTCCATATTCTGTTCTCTTACACACCATTTTTCCTGTCCCATCCTTCCCATCAATCGCGCCCTCCAAATCTTCTTTCTTCCCCCCCCCCCCCTTTAGATTCCCCATTATCTTTACTCCTCCCATTAGGTAACCAGGACTTTTGATGTGCTGCATACCAACTGGAAATGGGAAGTAAAAAGTGACCAACTTCTGTCCTAGCTTCAGAGGCAAAATCATAGACATATCAATACCAATATAAACTGCCAGTTACACAATGTCACATAAGTGGCTTGGCTATCTCATTATCCAAGCTAGGATCAAGCTGCCAAGAGGTTCATTTTTGCCAGATCTATAAACCCAGCCCACTTGATGAAGTTGGTAAGCATTTTTCAGTTCAGCACAAAACATGAAAAATGTTGCAGAGCTACTATAGCCATTCAGGTTCATCTTTAAAATTTAGACAAGAAGTAAAATCCTTGAAACTGGAGGTTTTAACAGAAATGTCAAGAGTCTTACAACTACTGCAGTGCTCCCAAGTACCATTGTAGTAAGTATAAATTGTTGGAAATGACATTTTATAGATATGAGTGAATAAAATGAATTATTTAAGCAGGTTAATTACGTTTTACGTAAAAGCATACCAAGGTGCGGTAACATCTATCCGTAAGTGGAGTAATGACAAGTCGAGGTGAGTTGCCAAGGTACTCATAGGCATATTTTACATTGCAATTAATTATGCGGACACGAGCATTTTCATATTCCCAATAATATCGCAGTTGAGCAAGCCACTGAAAGTCTGACTCATTTTTTACACCTGGTAAGAAAGTGAAGAAGAAAATAAGAAAAAAATTCTAGAAAATTGAATTTGTTAGGTATAAAATAAATAATTTGTCAATATGAAATAGTACTGAAATTATGAATACTTTCAAATATAAAATACTTTCGAAATTCTCATAGTTCTTTAGGCCCGCAAGGAAAAATAATGCAAGTCTATTTCTCTTGGTTCTGAAAAACTCCATGTTAGAAACACATGAAGAACAAAATTTTAAAAAGCTATGTACCACTTTCAATCATCTCCATGACGACATCTCTAGCATGGACATCAATAGTAACCAAAGCACCCAATGTGGTTCGTGTCTGCTTAGATAATTTTCCTCTTACCAACTCTACAATATCATTAAGCTGAAGCTGAAGAGCCATATAATAATCCTCTAAGCCCTGCAAGGAAAAAAAATGTCAAAATTGATTGAACATTCTTTGAACTTTAGTTTGCAATTAATTAGGGTTCTGAAAATTCTTCATAGTGTGCATAGACATTTAATAGAGATTGCTTAATGGACCATCACCCTTCTCAGTCATTTCTCTCTCATTTCCAATTATTTACTTCCCCACTAAAAGTACTTTTTTTTTATTTATTTTTTTTACATATTTTAAATCTCAGGCCCACTTAAGTCAATGGGAGTACTGACTTCAATGGGCTTTGGGTCCTTACTGCATTTCAGCAGCTGCAAACAAACAGGAGGAGCCAGTGTATGACCAGCCTACTCCCTGTGAGCCAGAACCAGTTTATAAATCTTAAGAAATTATGTTATGTTCTTATTATTATTGGAAGTGCAGTCTGAAACCACATTCAAGTTGCTTACATATGGAACCCCCTAGAAAAAGAAATGAATGTCTTTACTGTTATTTTTATCTACTTGAATTCCTGGGAACTAGTAGAGTAAAATTTGTTTAATTATTTTATTTAAAATGGGCTCTTAAACTATAGTAATAAACATGTTTCCATAAATAATGGTTCTCTATGCATATATGCAAATGTACTGTACATGCCCACAAACTGAAAAGCACCATTGTTTCATGTATCCTTACCTACTTTCTTAACCCTCCATATTGGATAGTGCCACTAAAAACTTTAGAATGAGGACTGCACCAATATACTGACTTTTCTAACAGAAAACTCTAAGAAGCAGGAGGATACATATCAACCTATGTTTTCCAAAGCCCAATCCTGGATTCCTCAATCACAGAACTTCCACCAATGTCAATGGAACTTTTGAACGCAAAAAAGTGGGATTTGGTACTTAAGCAGAGCTCTCTGTAAATCAGTTACCTGAGTACACAATGGGCAAGTAAAAAGTTGGGTACTCTACACTGTCCATACAAGCTAAAAAGACAGACAGCAGGACATGGATATGGATTAATTAGGCTGCAATTTAATCCATTTATAACATCTGGAAGAACCTTGCAAATTGTGCAGTGCAGGAAGGAGGGTGTTAGCTCTCCACTGATCCAGACATAAGAGTCCCAACCCCTTCCTTGGCTCCCTGTGGGGACCAGAAAAAGGAAAGGATCAGCTCTCCACTGAAGAAATGCAGCAGTCCAAAGCCCTCTGAATCAGCTCCCATAAGGAATTCTTTCCTTCAAATCTATTTCTAATCTGATCTGATAACTATAACCTCTGCATGCTGAGTACCCGCACTGGCATTCCCTACGGCTGTGTCTACACTGCACCCCTTTTCTGGAAAAGGGATGCAGATGAGACAAGTCAGAATTGCAAATGAAGCAGGGGATTTAAATATCCCCCGCTTCATTTGTATAAACATGGCTGCCGCTTTTTTCCGGCTCGGGGTTTTGCCGGAGAAAAGCGCCAGTCTAGACGGGATCTTTCGGAAAATAAAGCCTTTTCTGAAAGGTCCCTTATTCCTCTTAAGATCAGGAATAAGAGACCTTTCAGAACATGTTTATATAAATGAAGCGGCGGATATTTAAATCCCCTGCTTCATTTGCAATTCCGACTTGTCTCATCTGCATCCCTTTTCCGGAAAAGGGGTGCAGTGTAGACACAGCCTACTAGTATTACATGTAAGTGCAACATTATAAACTAATCCACCTACTCCATTCCATCAGGTACCCAGCCCAGCTGTAGAAAAGGTTAAAAAAATTGCCTTACCTTGGCCAATCTGTTAGTGAGGAGAAAATTCCATCCCAGCCCCACAAGGAAAATGGTCAATTAGCACAATGCCCACAATGGGTAAAAAGGAATAGGACCAGTTTCCCAAACAGATGGGTGGGAGAGTGGTGGTTTCCAGCCTGTTTCTGGTGTATAGAAGGGCAATGCAATGGCCTGGAGCTCTTCCCAGCTGCATCCTGCCCTTGTTCTTCCCTGCTGCATCCTGCCCTTGTTCTTCCCTGTAACCTTTCCCCCTTCTCTGTGCTGTTGCATGGGATCCCTTAACAGGGTAGTGTTCTTTTCCTTCCAGATAGCCAGACAAACACCCAGTTGCAAAAGGAATGTGGTGGACACGTTCTTCAGAATTTCACCATTACTTAGTATTCAAAACTGGGTGTTTTGAATACCCAAAGGCTGTTCAAAAAAATCTGTGTTTTAAGACTGGTTAGAGACAAATGTTAGAGACACGTTAAGACTGGTATTAATTATTTTATCCTACTTTATAGGGATAGGGGGAATGAATGATTTAGTTGATCAAAGTACAATAGCTGAAATAATCAACGTAAACTAAAAATATTATGCTTCTTAGTACCTCTGGGCCATTGCAAATGGCTTCATGTACCTCACTCGTCCAGAACATCTGAGATACACACAGCACTACCTGTCCAGGCCACTCTAGAACCCACTGTTTTCTTTCAGTCTCAGGATATGCCTAAAGAGTTAAATACATCATATAACGATGTTAGTGTAAATAACTGAATATGTACCACCGAGAATGCTTTTGTATTATATGACTCAATGTGATGCTTTTAATAATACTCTTTTGAATACTGGCAATGCTATATTTGTATTTTTGAAATCAAATACAAAATATTTCTTTAAAATATTTCAAATGGCCTTTTTCCTTAATTTTCTTCCTTTTTTATTGCTAAGTCATCAGATTTTAAAAGTCTCCCTATTATTCCCTAGAATCAGCATTCTAAATTGACAAACAGAATAATTTTTTGGTTTGTGGTCTTCTTTTTAAGTAAGAGCAAATCTCTGACAAGTATTTTGCTTACTTCTAATTTTTAATTAAGTAAAACAATAAAACAAACTCTATAAAATAGGGTATCTTAGAAGTTTAATAATGTTGTCAAATTTCTTTTATACATTCCAGTGAGTATGCAGGACAAATCTCAGTCCTGATTAAGGCAAAACTCCCATTGGCCAAACTGGTTTATAATGATAAGTCTCACACTAAAAACTTAGGCCTTATTTTGTAGCTTTCATATGGTTAAATTATACCCAAGGCAAGTTTCAGAGGGGTAGCTGTTGTTCAGGAAAAAACAATAAGGAACCCTGTAGCACCCTAACGACTAATACATTTGTTAGTCTAAATACATTTATTAGTCTTTAAGGTGTTTAAGGTCCTTGCTTTTACTAAGGCAAGAAGAGTTTTAGTATGCATTAGGCATTTAGGAAAGAGCCCTAAACTACTCATATATAAACAGTTTTCTAGAGATGTCCTGGAACACATATTAATAAACATACCAATCTTGATTCAGCAATAATATCATGTATACTCTTCAGCATAATATCTTCCACTTGGATCAGCCACTTCTCCACAGCACCTCGAGCTTCAGCAGTAGAAATGGTTGAAATCAGTTCCACTCGCTCACCTTCAGTGCTATACATTGCCTTAATATCCAAGTTGTGAAGGAAATGCAGCTTAGCAATGCCCTCAAAACACTTTTTCAAGTGAGGCTGAACTCTGAGAGGATCTTTGGTCTCTGATAGGATCTCTAACATTTCATCATTGGACAAGAAGAAAAAACTAGAAAAAGATTCACAAAAATGACAGAAGTACCAAGTTACTGAACATGTCAGCCCAACTACACAGCAAAATATAAATTCAATCATCTTTGTTTCTGATACAGTCAACGTGCAGCATACCGAGGAAAGAAGAGACGCTTCTTTTCAAGGTAAGCATTAAGCCCTTTCATGATTTTGTCGAGAAGCTCATTGCACCCCTGAAGTTTCTCCAATAAACCTGTCAATGAAGTGGCAGCAAGAACCTGTGACAAAGATATATAATCTCACTTAGTGCCTACTGTAACTCAAATATCGGCTATAGCATACAATGAAGGTTAGCAAGATGATAAATATATTGCACAGGCTTTTCCTCTGTAAGTCTTGGAGGTTAGTGAAATTATAGTTCAGTTAATTGAGTATATTTTTACCACAAAATTATTGATAAAAATGGGAGGAGGATTTTCTTTTAGGGTCAGATTATTTCTGAATAAATATATTACTTTAGGGTCTTTGGCACAATACTTCATAATGTCCCTCCAGTATCTGTCAACAGTTTGGAAGAGACGTCCCTCTTCTGGCATCTGTTGCATGATGTCCTCAGAAGAAAAAATGGGCTCCAAGTAAAGCCATTGAGCTTGAACTTTCAACCATTCATCAATAGTTTCCTGAATTCGAATAAGACAGTCTTCCCATTCCTTAACAAACATATTAAAATTATAGTCATACCACATAAAATTAACTAGAGAATCAAAAGTAAAGAAACAAAATCTTATGGAAGACTAAATGTTCTTCCTTATACATGTATTACCTACCAGTTTGAAAAGTCTAACCTAACACTAGACTAGTTTTCCAAAGCACTAATAAATCCTTTGAGTGGAGTTTCAGATCACTTCACTATTATCATCTCTTAATTTTCTATTTAGAGAACATTCATTATGATGCTGGAGACAAATAGGGTTGCTAGATATCCAGTTTTTTACCAGAATGCCCAGAACGGTCCATTAACAGTCTGATCTGGTGGGCCGGGCTAAGGCAGGTTCCTTGCCAACCCTGGCTCCACAGAGTGCTTGGAAGAGGCTGTTATTTCCCTGCAGCTCTTAGGCAGAGGGGAAGCCAGGACATGCTGTCTCTGTTCCTAGCTCCCATTGGCCAGGAAGACTGAGGGGTTGCTTATATGGGTATGGGCAGCATGCACTGCACAGAGCCAGTGTATGTGTGTGTGCGCTCAATAACTACTGAGACTATTCTAGCTCTGAGGTTAGCATAACAATAGAAGAGGGGCTACATTGCTGTTCAGCAGCCTGGGGAAAGTGATTCCTTCCTATGCCAGCCCACTAGGAAGTTCCCAGTGTCCAGCACAGCTGCAAAGGCATGCCCTGAAGTAAAAATTGACCTCATAAATACTAGATCACCAAATATTTTGATTATAAATCAGCAGTAAGACAGAAACCATAACTGGGAGAGAAAATTAACACAACTTATAAAACATTTTATTCAGAAATACCCGAGTTACCAACTTTTAAAAAATTAAATGTTTCTAATGAAAAATCCAACTATAATGCAAAAATAATAAAACACTAGCCCAACCATATAGTTATCACTGGAATATAAGTGGCCATTTTAAAAAGCAAATATACATTTTGGCTCTCATACCTTGATTTCTTTTTCAAAAGGTTTAATGAAAGGTGATCCTCTCATTGTTTGAGTTTTTACAATCTGATCATCTAAAATAGTCTGAATCTCATCCACTGCGGACAGAATACAGACTCCAGTTTCACGATAAATGCTTGTATGGAAAAAAACAGATTCCCATATTTCCATCATAGCATGCATAGCTTTCTCTAAAGAAAACTCCTACAGTATACAAAAAAGGAGATATTTTATGGTCACACAATTTTTCTTTGGTTGCCACATTCAATATATAATTTCACATACCTAGAAAAATCTTAGGAGACATGCCACTGGTACTAACAGCATAACATTATTTCTTAACATTTCATTTGCTGAAGCATAACAAAAAACCATATGTATCATTGATATGACAACATGTAAGTTAGAAATGTAAACAAATTCAAAAAGTTATAGCCAATGCATCATCCAATAGATCATGTTGTCAGTGACTAGCTCTCAACAGCCTCAGAAAATTATATGCAACAATAAAAGGAAAAAAAGCATAAGCCCAGGAACCACCACCATACATACTTCGATTTTCATTTGTTTCCAAAGAGATTTACAGTCAAACCTCTGTGCTCACCTTACTTGCACCTACACTTATAGTTTCAAATTGCTCCAGGTAAGGGGCTAGATTCTGCTTTAAAACTTTTCTTAGAGTAGTTCCAGAGTCTGGAGTTAAATCAAATCCTATTAAATCTGACATCTGTTGCCAATGACGAGTCCTTATGCCTGGGTTACAAAGGATAGTCACCGTGGGGATATTTTCCTGTTTGATAAAAATATTTGCAAAACAGAATTTTATCTATGTAAATATACATTTTTCAGATAATATGAATTATAACACACCTAAATTAGCTCATCCCCTTCCTCCCTTATAGCTAGCTATTGTTCCTGACTCCTAACTATCTTTTCAATGAATATTATCAATCTAAACTGTCTTTCATCAGTGGATTTGATGATGAATTATAGGTAAGAATTTTGCTATTGTACATTCATTCCTCATGATGAACCAGAAGACTGTTTGTGCCAAGACCTAAATTTAGATTTAATCCTGCAACAACAACATCAGTGACTTCAACTAATTCCCAAATAGTACAGATGGCTTCTTCCAATGCACTGCTTCAACTGTTACCAGATAATATTCATTAATTTTTTCTGAAAAAATATAGTCACAAATGTAGGTCTTGGTGGACACATAACATTAACTAATTTTCAATTGCATTTTGTTTTAAAATGTACTTTCATGTACAAACGTTCTAATAGTAATTTGATAAAAATCATCATCTTGTATTTGTGTATTTTTGAATTCCAGTTTAGTTTTAAATTCATAGTCATTATGTCTAATTTTCAGAATTAGTTATTACAGTTTTTATCTAGTCCTCAAAATTTGTTTCTTTTGCAATAATTTTTTCCAGGGCAGAAAGTAATCTTTTTGTATTATTTATATAACATGTAAATTAAAATATTATTAAATCACTATTTGATCATTCATGCACCTGAAAATTTGCAAAAAATCCTGATTCTATTAAAATCTGTTAAAGTTATGCTATTGATTTCAAATGTATATCTGTTATCACTAGAAAAGCATCATCAAGCCAACACTACCGTGAATACTGCATAGCAGGACTTGAAAAAAATCCTGTCAGTGGCTCACTACTAATATTTTGGGTTTGCTCCTTAGAAGAAGGCAAGTTCAGTAGCACATTTAAATCATGAAGAGGGCAGTTAAAATTTATTTGATGGAAGAATCCAAATATGCATTTGCTTGTCAATATATTTTTACCTAGACTGCATCCCTGGTACCTTCAGGTGCACTGAAGAGTCACTATCTGTCTGCTCTGCAAGCAAAGTTTCCTTGAAGGATTCTGGCTGAATATTATGCTGGTCACACTGATGTAACAGCATCAATATAAAGTGGGGCTTAAATTGATGAAGTTTAATCCAATAACAGAAAAAGCAAACTTTACAGGTTTAAGTCCTACTTTCAACAGGTATCACGTCTACATTAGAGGTTTATATTATAAGCAAATTGGGGCTTGTCTACACTTACAGCATTTAGTGAAGGTGCTACCTACCCTAATGGAGAGCTTCTCCCAATTAACACAGGTATTCCACCTCCCTGAGAGGTCAAAGCTATATTGACTGGAGAAATGCTATCCGTACCCGGGATTAGTTTGGCATAACTGATTTTCCATGCTGATGAACAACACAGTTGTACTGATATAAATTGGTATAGACCAACACTGATGCAACCAGTGCTAATTCTCTTAATGTAAATAGGGACTCATCAGCCACAATTTGTCCTGGAACCTTTCAAGCCATGCACCCTGATTCAGCAGTTTGATCATAAGTGCAGCATCCTCCTCTGTCTTGTGCTGCTCTCATTCCCAGTCCTCTCTTCCCATTTCCAAGTAGCTACTGCCCGCAGGGTCCAAGTGGGCTAAAAGACCTATACTCCCCTAGTCATATCCTCACCCCCAGAGTCAATTAGGGTGAAGTGAGAAAGTGACTCCTTCACTTTACCTTCCCTCTGCACTCACTCAGGAGTGAGACACAATCAATCTCTCTATCAATCTAATTCAACTTTCCATAAAGTTCAGTCATTCACAAGGGGTTTCCTCATTTGTGTTAACTATCAAGTTAATACTATAACCAAAAATTGATATTTCAGAGATTATGGTCTCTGCTTGGGTGAGTAATGATTTTAGGATTTGTCCCTAACTGTTAAGTATTATTATCAATTTTTAACCTTAAAGTCTTTGATCTGTTCCATTACAGAGGAACACATTGTAATCGTTGGATTGTCCTTCTTTTCTTCTTCCAATTTCTCGTCTACTATGGCTCTGCGATGCAGAGTCTTCTTTTTTTCTAGTTCTGCTTTCTTCTGCTTTTGTTGAAAAAGCTTCAACATCTTGTATACCTCTCGAAAAAACTCATCTACTTCAGTCTCCATGCTTTCCCCATTCAGGTCCAGGAAAGCCCCATCCATCCATCTGGGAGAAAAACCGAAAGTATAATAATCTTTTACAAGAATCAAAATGGCATATAAATCATGCACAGATCTAAAACACATTTTTAATGTTTAAATATACTATTTGCATCACAAACAAAAGTTTAAAAAGTTAAAAGCAACATTTTAATGGAATGTTTCACAGGCCTTGGAGGTCAATCCGCTCCTACAGACAACCCCTAACTTCACACAAATCCTTTCTAGTAACCACGCAGCACACCTCCATTATGATAATTCAGGAACCCACCCCTGCAATCAACCCCGGTGCCAACTCTGTCCACACATCTATACAAGCAATATCATCATAGGACCTAACCATATCAGCCACCACATCAGAGGCTCATTTAACTGCACAGCCACTAAATGTTATCTATGCCATCAAATGCTAGCAATGCCTCACTGCCATGTATATTGACTATACTGGACAGTCTCTACGTGAAAGAATTAATGGACACAAATCAGATATGCGAAACAGTAACACACAGAAACCTGTGGGGAACATTTTAACTTGTCCGGGCACTCATTAATGGATCTCAGTCACTGTACTGTTTCAGGCCAATTTTACAAGCCAGATACACAAGGAAGCCTTGGAACTTAACTTCATTTACAGGATCGATTTGCAGCTACATTCTATTTTTAGTGTAATAGCCAGAGCAAACGTGTCTCCTACAGTTGGAAATTATACCTGCAATTCGGAAGTGTGGGAATACCCATTTTCACACCCTTAAGACCCGTCACTATTATAGCTTATAAAGCAGTATTTATCCACTAGAGGTAACAATCATTTGAGCAGGTCTACATTCCATTTTGGGAGTACAGACAAGCCACGACGTGCTATACTATCCGTAAGAAGTCTCTCACCTCGCAACCTAGAGCTCACTCAACACGAGCAGTCGCTACGTCTACAGCTTTCGTGAAAGGTGTCCCTCTTCGTGACATCTGCCGTGCTGCAACTTGGTCTTCAAATTCTACCTTTTCAAGACATTATGCAATTGTTCAGCACTTCGCCTCTGACTCAGCAGTAGCCTTAGCAGTGTTGCCTGCTGCTCGGAATACCGATTCCGAAACACACGTTTAGCCGAGATTACTGCTTCGGAGTCACCAGAAGTGGAGCACCCACGGGGACACACCTCGAAGAACGATCGTTACTGCACGAAGTGAGTAACTTCCTTTTCTTCTTCGGGTAGTCCCCGTGGGTGCTCCACTTCTGGTGACTCCGAAGCAGTAATCTCGGCTAAACGTGTGTTTCGGAATCGGTATTCCGAGCAGTAGGCAACACTGCCAAGGCTACTGCTGAGTCAGTGGTGAAGTGCTGAACAATTGCATAATGTCTTGAAAAGGTAGAATTTGAAGACCAAGTTGCAGCACGGCAGATGTCACGAAGAGGGACACCTTTCACGAAAGCTGTAGACGTAGCGACTGCTCGTGTTGAGTGAGCTCTAGGTTGCGAGGTGAGAGACTTCTTACGGATAGTATAGCACGTCGTGATACAAGAGACAACCAGCTTGGAAATGCGCTGGGCGGATAAGGACTTGCCCCTAGAAGAGCCCGATGTTGAAATAAAGAGGCGGTCCGTCTTACGTAAAGTACGGGTTCTGTCTATATAGAAAGCCAGGGCTCTGCGGACATCGAGCGTATGCAGGAGAGCGTCTCGCTGAGATGCATGCGGTTTTGGGTAGAAACATGGCAAAACAATTGGTTCGTTTATGTGAAATTCCGTACATACTTTAGGTAGAAAGGCTGGATGAGACCTCAGTATCACTGATTCCGGGTTGAAGACCGTATAGGGAGGCGTTGACATTAGTGCGGATAACTCGCTCACCCTGCGTGCTGATGTTATAGCCAGAAGAAAAAGTACCTTCATCGTAAGCATCGGTAGCGGTACCGTGGCCAGCGGTTCAAACGGTGGCCCAGTGAGGACATCGATAACCAGGTCAAGACTCCATACAGGTGGCGGAGGTCTCCGTGGTGGGTTGAGGTTAGCCAATCCTCTGAGAAATCTAACCATCATGGGGTGAGAAAAAACCGACTTGCCTTCAACGGGGTAGTGAAAAGCAGCTATTGCCGCTATGTGGACCTTAAGTGATGAAATGGCTAGTCCGGTTGCCTGCAGCTGAAGGACATAGTCCAATAAGACATGCATCGGCGAAAGCAAGGGATCCAGGAGTTTAGGAGCACACCATCGTACAAATCTGGACCACTTTGACAGGTAGGTTTTCCTGGTGGAATCTCTCCTGCTGTGCAGGAGAACACGCTTCACTTGGTCCGAACAAAGATTCTCGGACTCGCTGAACCATGTACCATCCATGCAGTGAGGTGCAGAGTGTCCAGCTTCGGGTGACGCAGTGAGCCTCTCTGTTGTGTCAGCAAATCTGGTAGGCAAGGCAGTCGGCGCGGTGCTCGTACAGAGAGCTGCCGAAGGGTTGAGTACCATGGCTGCCTGGGCCATGCTGGGGCTATAAGTATCACTCGTGCCCTGTCCATCACAACCTTCTCGAGTACTCTGGGAATGAGTACAACAGGGGGGAATGCATACAAGAGTGATGTGCCCCAGTGAAGGAGGAATGCGTCTCCCAGCGAGTGAGGTCCCACTCCCGCTCTGGAACAGTAAGCTCTGCATTTTGCGTTGGCACGTGTTGCAAAGAGATCTATCGTCGGAAACCCCCACTGATGGAAGAGAGTTAAGAGGACATCTGTGCGGATCACCCACTCGTGGTCCTGGGGGAAATACCTGCTCAGTGCATCGGCTGTGGTATTGTTCACACCCGGTAAGTATGACGCAACTATAGAGATGTTGTTTCGAATGCACCATTTCCAGAGACGGATCGCCTCCGCACAAAGTGAGCGGGATCGGGCACCCCCCTGTCTGTTTACGTAGTACATTGCGACTACATTGTCCGTGAGAATTCTGGTGACAGTACCTTTTATGTATACCTTGAAGTGTTTGCAGGCATGAAACACGGCTCGAAGCTCGAGAAGATTGATATGGAGCATCATCTCCGTAGCGGACCAACGACCCAGAACTGTTTTTGTGCCCATGTGGGCACCCCAGCCGATGAGAGAAGCGTCTGTAGTTATTTCTCGTGACGGTTGTGGTGCATGGAAGGGAACTCCTGACAACATGTTGTTGTGATTCGTCCACCATACTAGGGAGTCTTTGACATGTACTGGAAGTACTACCGTCTTGCGAATGCTGTGGTCGGTAGGCTTGTAAACCGTGCTTAGCCAATGCTGCAGACACCTGAGGTGCAGTCTTGAATGGCGCACTATGATTGTCGTGGAAGCCATATGTCCCAGAAGCTGGAGACATACGCGTACCGGGAGCATTGGAGCGTGCAAAACTGTTTTTATCAGATCTTGCATTACTTGAAAACGCTCGAGTGGAAGGTGGACTCTTTCCGACTGGGAGTCGAGACGCGCTCCTATGAAGGTTAAAATCTGTGTAGGTAGTGGGCGCGATTTTTGAGTGTTCACGATAAGGCCGAGGGAGTTGAACAACTCCTGAGTTGCGACTACCATGTGGTGAACCTCTAACCGGGTGCGCGCCTTGATGAGGCAATCGTCGAGGTAGGGGAAGATAACGACTCCTACTGGTCAGATCCACGCTGCTGTTGCTGCTGTTGCTGTTGCTTATAGGGAAAATAATCATATTTCCTCTGGAAAGGGTAGTATCGTCTGCGTTTAAAAGGTGACGTGTACATCCCCAGAGAACGAAGGGTCATACGAGAGTCCTTGCCAGAATGGAGGATCTCGTCGGTAGTAGAGGCAAACAACTTCTGACAATCAAAGGGTAAATCTTCCACTTTGGAGTTCAACTCCTTAGGAGCTCCCGCTGACAGTAGCCAGGAAGCTCTCCTCATCGCAATGCCTGTTGCCATTGCTCGCGCGGCTGTGTCAGCAATGTCCGCGGCTATCTGAAGGGCTGTTCTACATGCGGTGAAACCTTCCTGGACAACCGATCTAAGGAGAGACTTCTTACTGTCAGGGAGGTGCTGCATGAGTTCCGGTAACTTAGAGTAATTATCAAAGTTATGGTTTGATAACAGAGCAGCATAATTGGCAACCCGCAGTAACAAGGTCGAGGAGGAGTAAACTTTCCGACCAAAGTGGTCCAATTTCTTTGTCTCCCTATCCGGTAGGGAATTCTTGAATTGGGGCATCTTGTTCTTGTGACGAACCGCATCCACTATCAGGGAATTCGGCTGAGGGTGATTGAAAAGAAAATCCAGACCTTTGGATGAAACGAAATACTTCTTGTCAATTTTCTTATTAGTTGGCGGTATCGATGTTGGCGTCTGCCAGATATCCTGTGCCACTTCTAAGATGGCTTCATCTACCGGGAGTGCAATCTTTCTCTGTTGTTTAGGGTGCAGATTCTTAAACAGCTTATGCTGTTTAGCTTGAGAGTCAGTGAGCTGCACTTCCTGAGATTGCGCTACACGTTTAAACAGGTCTTGGAATTCCTTAAGATCATCCGGTGGAGACTTCTCGCCCATAGACAGTGATTCATCCCTAGAGGGCTGTGGTGAACTGGCATTAGGGGAGATATCCTGCTCACCTTCCGAGAGTTGCCCTTCCTCTAGGTCCGACATTTGAGAACAATGCGTGGGGGAACGAGAAGATACGGGACGTCGTAGCGGAGAACGCTTGGAGATCTCCGAGTGCCCAGAGCGTGGACTAACTGATCTACAGGAACATGGAGACCTGCGATGAGACCGAGAGTGACTGTGATGAGATGATTCAAGATAGTCCGGTCTATAACGATGAGAATAGTGCCGGCCAGACCTTGCAGGGGAGAAGCGTCCAGAAGATCTAGTGCTGTCATACCTGGCGTAATATGTACTTCTAGGTGAATGAGTTGGTGATCGTGAGCGTCTCGCCGGAGAAGGAGATCTCGAATATCTCTGGTGTGAACAGCTACGCTCTCTATCATAATAGTGACGAGATGAGAGACTGCGGTGGTAATAATGCCCATGGTCTCTTGCGTGGTGCGTAGAGGCACAACGGTAAGGGGATGGCTCGTGGTGAGACCTTGGCGAGGTACTCTGAGAGATTCCCTGGGCATTTGATTTTTGTGTTGATGCTGCTGGCTGTGTAGAGCCTGGAGAGTGAAGGGTTAAGGGCTGTGAAGCAGGCATCTGAGTATGAGCACGCTGATCCCCTGCCGGTGCTGAGGACAGCTCCCTGTGGGGGGCCGTGGTTAAAAGCCCTTCAACAGCCGGCACCGCTGATACAACTGGTGCCGCTGCGTCTGTCTCTTTAAGAAGCCCCGGTGCCGGGTGAGGATCCCGAGCAGTGGGCTGACGAGACTCTGAAGTGCCGGCCGGCTTATTGACTGATGGAGCACGGGTTACCCTCGAACGAGAAGTGCCCGGCTTGTCACCTGCGCTTGCCCGCGACTGCGGAGCAGCTGGCAGGGAGTGAGCAGGAGAGGCTTTCCTCTTTTTTGATGAGGGCAAAGCCTCAGAAGGAGCCTTCCGCTTATCAGTCGTAGGGTCGGAGGCAGAGGATCCTGAGGCAGTGGAAGGCATGAGAGCCTTATCAAACAGGATCTCCTTCAAGCGACGTTCCCGCTCCTTGCGGGCTCTAGTCGTCAGGCTGGCACAGTGGGAGCACTTTTGGGGGATGTGAGTCTCCCCAAGGCAGCGAATGCAAGCCGAGTGTCCATCTGACACCGGCATTGGTTCAGCACAGCCTTCACATTTCTTGAAGCCGGGGGAGCCCGGCATTTTGAGTTGTGGGGACTGAGTGTTACCGCCTGCTAAAAGCAGCCGCTTGTATGCGTCCCCGGTTACTGCGTGTTACTTTCCTTCTGTTTAAAGTTTATTTCCTTCCTTTTTTCTCTTCTTTTTTTTTTTTTTTTTTTTAAACCAGAGCAGGCAACAGAAAAAAACGCCCACAGAGTATATCTATATATAGCACTGCTCTTTCTCAGTATACTCTTTCCTTTCTTCTTTCTTATTTCTCTTTTCTTTTTTTTTTTTTTTAAACCGCGTCTGCCAACGGGGCTAGACGCAGTATATATTTAAACAGTAAAAGTTATGAGGCTTCCCCACGGCAAACAGCCGAAGGGAAGAAGGGGGAAATTTTGAGGAGAGAGTAGGGAAGCTCCGTCTGCGACCCAAGGCGGATGAGAAGAACTGGCGGGAGCCGGGCAGCGCGCGGTAGATGAAAGGCGCGAAACGGGAGTGCACGCGCGCTGCCCGACCACACACACACACACAGCTCTGTTAAAGCTCCGATTTGCGGCGCCGGGACCAGCCCGACACCAGAAGTGGAGCACCCACGGGGACTACCCGAAGAAGAA